AAAATAGTAAAACTGTGGGACACGACGTGATATGTGGGTATTCAAATCAAGCGCATGCGCAGAACTGATTAGCCGTTTTAAAATGGAAAAATTAAATTTACTTAATGTATTTAATTTTTTTTTTAATACAGTTGTAAATATCATGAATAAATAAAAAAAAAAATGAAAAAGGCAAGGCGGGAAATATCGGATAAATGGTTTTCATAGGAAAGGGTTCGATCAAAGGTTATTCCAAGGTTCTTAATGGTGGGATGGAATTCGATGGGATTATCGTGTGAGGGTTGGTATGTTAGGAAGAGTTTTAAGGAGGTGAGCCTATCAAAATTGCCTTGGTGAATTGAAGCCTCAAAATGTAGTGAATGAACTTAGAATTGAAAGCTGAATTAACTGACTAATTGTTTTGTGTATATATATATATATATATATATAGGGTGTCTTGTAAGTACAGGATAATTTTCATAGAAGTAATAGCAGACCTCATGAGCTCCAAAGTTCATAAAAACAATAGGCAAAAAGTATCAAAGCCACGTTTTCAATCGAATGCAATAACTAAAGAAATATTTAATTTAAGCAATTAACAATTTTTTCATTTTAAACAAAATGAAATTTACTTTAAACGAACATGGAGTTCATCATTGTTAATATAATTTAGAGAGGACTTTTGAGCGGCTAAACTAAGGTATATTTCGTTTTTTAGCAAAATCATTAATTATTCACCTTTTTTATCATCATCCAACTGCAGTAGAGTTTCTCCACTTTTACAAACACTTCTTCTTTTAATAAGCTTAAGTTTGTATTAATTAAGTTGAAGTTTATTAGGGAAAAATTTGTGATTCAGCTCAAGTTTTTTAAACAATGATAATTTTTATCCTGTCAAGTAAAAGTACTCCTGTTTTTGGCAAAACTTATCACAATTAATTGTTGCAATGTTTTTATTGATTTCGGATAAATTATAATAAACCCAATGCCTAAACACACATTTTTCGGATGAATTGGTCTAAGCTGTGTTTTTCATCCAGATCTCTATTTTAGGAATTGAACTGTATTAATGAGTGACAAAATAAAAGTTTCTAATCCTCAAATTCATGATTAAAATTTAAAAAAAAATGCTGATTGCTTAAATTATTTTTATTATTAATATTAAGTTTGTCACCTATAAATATGGATCAAATTCTAAAATAGAGATCTGGGTGAAAAATACAGTTTATAACCGATTTACAGGAAAAAGTATTACTTATTCTTTTTTAATAAATAAAATGTGTGTTTAGGCTATTAGTTTTAATAAGTTCACCCCATATCAAGGAAAAACAAGAATCGAAACAAGAAAGAAAACATTTACAATAATTAATAGTAGTAATTTTTGCATAAAACAGATGTACTTTTACTTGGCAGGATAAAAAATATCATTAAACGAAGAAGTTTTTGTAAAAGTAGGGAAGTGTTAGTATAGTTGGACGATAATAAAAAAAAGTGGCGGATAACTTATGATTTTATAAAAACTGAACTGGTTTCTTTGTGTCGATGTCTAGGCCCAAAACATCCAGGTCACCAAAACATCAGCGCCCGATCAACTAAATAACTCTACTTTTATACTGTTTGGATGGTTGGCACAAAAAATAAATTAAATAAAAATAAAAATACACACTTATAGAGATAATAATATAGAATAGATAAATAAATAAACTATTAAAAAATAGCAATAAAATCAATAAATCAATTGAAATTGAATAGACAAATGAACTTTTAAAATTAAAATAAATAAAGTAAATAAATGAAAAATAATGATAAAACTGCAAACGATCATTAGTTATAAAGTTTTTATATATGTTGCTTAAGTCTTTCATTATCTAGAAACTTGATAACTTTGTTAACGGTTTCTTCTTGATTTCCCAGAGATGCTGATATATTCTGGGGTATTCCGAGCTCTTTTAACCTTGCAGTGTAGAAAGGGCACTCTTCCAAAACATGTTTTATGGTTAATGACTGGTTACACTTTTGACATCCGGGGATAAGATCTTTTGTTATGAGGTGGAGGTGTGTCAGTCTAGTATGTCCGATCCTCTGCCGCGTGAAGACGATCTCTTCTCTACGACTGCTGCGTCTGGAGCTGGTCCACAGTAGCACCTCTTTCTTTATTGTCTTTAATATTTTATTTAATTGTCTTTAATAACTAGGTGCGCTGTTTTTCCCACCGTCTTTTCCATTCTTGAGGTATGTTTTCTCTTAGAGGTCGTGCAAGTTCAGATGGTGTCAAAAAAGCTTTACCGCGGCCTGGAAGAATAAGAACTTCTGCTGCTCAATCGGCAAAAGAACTTGGCTTGGTTTAGCCGCTAAAAAGTCCTCTGCAAATGGTTTTAACAATGATAAATTCAATTTTCGTTTAAAATAAATTTAATTTTGTTTAGAATGAAGCAATTATTAATTACTTATTTTTTTTTTTTTTTTTTATTTATTCAGACATATAATATTCTGTCACGGGGACAATAATTATAATGATAAATGAACACATTTACATCGTATATACAAAAAAAAATTAACAAAAGTAAAATAATAACTAAATAATAATAAATAAAAACAATATAAAATAAAAAAATTAAATAACCTAAATATAAGTAAATTAAAAACAATTAAAAAACATTACTTAAATTAAATATTTTTTTAGTTATTACTTTCGTTTCAATAAAAAACATGACTCTCTTATAAAACACAAATCTTGGCTTTGCTACTTTTCTAATTCTTTATATAAGCATATTGTTATATATAAAGCATATAATTGTTATACATTGGCATATATATGAACCTTTTTGTAGCTCTTGAGGTCTGCTATTACTCTTACAAAAATTTCCCTCTACTTCCAGGACACCCCTTATATATATATATATATATATATATATATATATATATATATATATATATATATATACTTATATATATATATATATATATATATATATATATATACTTATATATATATATATATATATAATATATATATATATATATATATATATATATATTTATATATATATATATATATATATATATATATATATATATATATATATATATATATATATATATATATATATACATATATACATATATACAAATACATATATATACATATATACAAATACATATATATACATATATACAAACACGTGTTTAACACAAATTTTATGCTTATTCAATAATACAGTCGAACCTCCTTATAACGAAAATTATAGCTCTTAGAAGAAAAAAATTTATAGGTAGACAATGTTTCATTATTACTCGATAAAGTAGTTTCAATTTAAAAAAAAAAATAGAACCGCTTTTAAAAAAAAAAAACAATGCGCTTGAAACCATAAGGTAGAGGTACTCCAATCCCCTATTGTTACACGTCTATACAGACGGTGCTGCAAATAGAGCAAGAAAGGATGGGAGAGCTGGTGTTTATGCGGAACATTTCCAATTGTCAGAGCCTGTGGGAAAGCTATCAAGTAAATTTGACAGTGATATCAAAGCAGTCTTCCTAGCATAAGAACTAATAAAAAAGTCCAAAACGCAATAAGTTGTGTTCCTAATTGACTAACAAGCTGTTATAATTGCCATTTCAGATCCTTCCTGCTGTTCCACAAATCAAATTAGTATGTGCCAGGAATTGATTGAGGAGCTGATTTTAGAAGGCACAGATGTCGTTCTACAGTGGATGCCAGGACACTGTGGTTTGACAGGTAATGAAAATGCTGACCGATTAGCAAAAGAATGTGTCGGAAAAGATCAGCCAGATATGCCAATCCCTTTCTTGACGGCAAAGAAGCTAGTCAAAACAGTAATCATTGAAGAACTGGAACAGAAACAGCAGTTGGAGTTAAAAGAGAAACAATGGACTTCATTACTAGAAGAGAACGGAAGAGTGCCAGTGGATCTCCCTAGAAGTAAGGAGGTTGCGCAGTTCAGGATGAAAACCAGACATGACTATCTCCAAAGCCATCTATACCGTATTGGAGTTGTCGATTCAGCTATATGTTCACTGTGTCGACAAGAATTCATGACTGCATGTCTGCATCTACTGACTTGTTCCCGGACTACAGGACATCAGAGAAAAAGCCAGGACAGAAGGTGAAATTTACTAAAAAAAAAAAAATAAAAAAAATAGCCCATTCTTATGAACATGGAACTAAGAGTTGATGATGGCATTTTATATCATTATGAAAAAGTCTTTTCCTACTTCTTTAGTTACTTTATTCCACTTTTTTGCATGGATCTCTGCAGTATCTTTGTTGATTGTAGTTATCCACCTGTTTGTTGGTTTCTAGCAATTTGTCACTATGTTAGCATTCATTATTGTTTACAGGTTTACAGAGGGAATGCTTCGAGCTACATGTCTCTCCCAACTTAAACTTCTTACCTTCATATCATGAGGTACAGAGTGACTAGAGTCTGTAATCTGTAATCAGTGCTCTGACGGTTTCATCCCTATGCGTGAGTACTCTCATTGTAGATCGCACCAGCTAGTGGATAGGTCTTTCGTCTCATATTTTTCAATTCTTCTCTCCAAGGTTGTATTTAGAGTCCAGGTATCGTAGTTGTTTATCAATCCATATACAATATTCTTTCTTAATATAAAACCAAAGTTTCTAATAAAAATGCATATACATATATATATATATATATATATATATATATATATATATATATATATATATATATATATATATATATATTCGAAATATGGAATTTCAATATATAGAAGTTCGACTGTAAATTTATTCAACAAAATGGTATTAAATTTTCTCTATTTTGTTTTAATTCCTTCCGAACTACATTTACCTTTAACGTTTTGTTGACGTAAGATTATTATAATTATAAAATTAAGATTATTATAAATTATGTCAGTTTAACGCTTATTTCCATCTAATGTAACAATCGTTACAGTTGAGCCTCTCTTTTTTGTAGAAATGCTAGTCCATGGTCTTATTGCATATGTTTGGAGAATAATAAAATAATGTACTTACTTAGCTTTTACATGAAAGAACTTAAAAGATGCAACGGCACTTTCTTTTAATTCGTCTTTGAGATCTATGGTTTCCAGGGAGTGTTTAGCAATACTCTCCAGTGCCTCCTCAGGCCAGTCCTAAAAATTATTGCTGGGTATTAATATCAATAGATAAATGTATAAAATTATTTGTAACAGTTAATAGACAGGTTAAAAATATCTAATTATAAAATTTTCCCATCACAAAAAAAAAACAGCTATTTATATAGATAGGGTTGATGCGATATCGGGCAAGTTCCATTATTCCTTATCGATATTAGTATTAGAAATATCGATGTTGCCAATAACTAATGATACCGAAATCAAAATGCAATTTAAAATACACCTGTATTTTTATTTGTAATGTATTTTTATTTGTAATTGTATCTTTATTTGTAATGAATTTTTATTTGTAATTGTATTTTTATTTGTAATGTATTTTTATTTGTAATATATTTTTATTTCTAATTGTATTTTTATTTGTAATTGTATTTTTATTTGTAATTGTATTTTTATTTGTAATATACACTGACAGGCAAAAAATTCCACCCACTTGATTTTTCCATGTTTTCATCTAAAAATATGTCTGTAAAGTTGTGTTTGTATATAATACATGGAATTTGTAGATAAAACTTAGTATTTACGGAATTTTATAATCTTTAATAATCAAAATGTGATTGGGTAAGAAAGATTAGAGAAAACAAAATTGAAAAACGAACCATTATTAGCACGTGTAGTAGCATGTGTTTCCTCCTCTTGCCTTCACTACTTCTTGAAGACGCCTCGGCATACTTTCCACCAGTCGGGAAATGTCCCTTTGCTGGAGGATAGCCCATTCCTCCCGAAGAGCCCTTTCTAGGTCCTGCAGTGTATCAGGAAGTGTTGCACGCGCTCTTATTCGTCTTCCAAGGCATTTGTCCCATAAATGCTCAATGGGGTTCAAATCTGGAGAACGTGCTGGCCAGGCTAAAACCTCAATATTGTTCTGTTGAAGGAATGTCTGCACTATACGGGCGACATGTGGGCGTGCATTATCGTGCATTAGAATAGAACGATCACCGATTTCGTTGAGGATAGGCAACACATGAGGTTCTAAAATCTCATCTACATAACAAATGACCGTCAAAGACCCTCCATGAACAACAACCAATTCTGTGCGGCACTCCATTGAAATCACAGCCCACACCATTAAGGAACCACGTTGGAAAGGTTGGTTCTAGGAAAAATTACAGGCTGCATATCTTCGTTTCTTCTTCTCCACACCCTTTCACGCCCGTCTGGAGATCGAAGAGCGAATCTTGACTCATCCGTAAAAAGTACAGCACTCCATTCGTCCATAGTCCAATGGCTGTGTTCTCGAGCCAGCCGTATTACTCTGTGAGTTCTGGTCAACTCTGGTCCTCTTACTGGACGAAAAGCCATTAATCCATACTCATTTAATCTTCTCCGAGTGTTACGTCCAGAAATTTGTACACCTCGAACTTCTTCGAGCTGATGAACGGTAAGGTGCCGGTTTCGTAAAATTCTCAAAGTCAAAAACCGGTCATCTTGTGGTTCTGTTCCCCTAGGCCGTCCAGAACCGGGCCTTCTATTGTAAGAACCAGTTTCCTGAAAACGCCTGACGGTGTCTCGTAAAGTTTCATATGGAACTCCGATGGCATTAGCTGCATATATAATGGAACGTCCATCATCAATAAGTGCCACACCACGCACAACATCCTCAGCACTAAGAGGCATTTTTAAACTTAATATTGAAAAAATTAAAAGCCGGGGACTAAGAAATGTGCTGCAAGAAACGGCACTGAACTAATGATACTGAATAAACATTTTAATTCCATAGAAAGTAAACATTGGAATCTAGAATCATTTCATTGAACTAAGGATTAAGGGTTATTGTCCTCTATATTAACATTCCTAATTGAAAACAAACAAAAAGATTACCTATTTATTCATTAAAAACAATAGACCAATCCAAAGCAGAAATATTTTTAGATGAAAACATGAAAAAATCAAGTGGGTGGAATGTTTTGCCTATCAGTGTATATTTTTAGTTGTAATACAGTTGAATATATCATCAATAAATATATATATATATATATATATATATATATATATTATATATACACACAAATATATATACACATATATTAAGCTACTGATATTATAAGTATCTTAATATATGTGCTAGTGGACTGTGCTGAGACAGTCGGTGTGTCCCTGGCCTGATCGAAGCTCTATTTTTTAAAATTCTAGCTTTGAAGAGGATCCAATCGTTGACTAATCAAAAAGAAAATACCGGGATCGAAACGTCAATAAACAGAAGAAATGAACATTCAATAGTTTATTGAATTATTAATAAGTGACCTTATTCCCAATTAAATAGTTAAGTTTAAAATTAAATACTCAAAGGTCGATTAAGAAAAAGTTGTAAAGATATATGTATATATATATCGTCGGTTTTTTGTAAAAAGCCATCAAGTAACGATTCATAAGTCTAAATTAGTAGGAAATTTGATGATTCGTTCCATTGTGAAATTGTGAGCTTTTTGTAACTGTATTTGATATATGAGCCTTTCGTCTTTGAGTAAAGTCATTTTAGTGATTTTTCTAGTTAATAAATTTTAACTAAAATAGATTGCAGTGTTGAATTATAGAACTATGAATAATTTATACCTTTTTCCCTACAGAAATATCACTAAAATTAATAATCAAAAATGTTGAAATTGGAGTTATTCATTCTCTAAACAGAAAGGTTCATATAATATGGTTTGTGTCATTTCGTGTACTCACTGTGTTTTTTTTTTTTTGTTTTTTTTTGTCGATAAATATAGCTGAAATTCACTAAAATGTTCCTAAGAGTTTTGCGATTACTCCATGAGCTGTTTTCTTGGAAAGTATTGTAACTCCATTTTTTAATATTTGGTTATATTTAAGGGTTTGTATTTCAATTGTTTAAAAAATATTATATATTAATGCGCTCACTTTATGCTCATTTTTATTTATTTTATGATACGTACAACTGTATTACATATAAAAATACATTCAGTAAATGTGAACACAGGAACATAGTAACATGAAACCACTTGTTGAGAAACTGCCCACTGGTAGCACTCTAAAAATGTCTTTACAAATGGATATCCCGAGGCCATCTTCTTTTCAGACGCCTCGGAGGGTTATTCTTTTTTAAATATTTAATTGATTTATGTTTATAATGTGCATGCAAAAAAAAATACATTTATGTATATTTTTTTTTAAACTTAACTATTTAATTGGGAATAAGGTCACTTATTTCCCTATATATGTGTAGCTTGATGTCCTTGTGGCGGTACTGTTGGGTCTGTCAGCGTGCTGCCCGGCTTGGAGTATCGATGCTCAATTAAAAAACTTAAGATGATCCCATTATGTATGTTAAAAAACGGGGATCGAAACTTTTTTGAATAAATGGAATAAACAGAAGTTGTTTTAAGTCATCTAAGTGTATTTCATGACCTATATATATATATATATATATATATATATATATATATATATATATATATATATATATATATATATATATATATATATATATTCCGATATTGGCATTTTTCTTCCGATACTGCGATAATATGGAATATTTTTTTCGATAAGATATTGTACGATATCATAAGAAAAATATCGATATCGATATTATCGCAACATCCCTAACTATAAACATATAAATAATTTAGAGTTAGTTTTCATTAAGAATTATATTTTATAACAATAACGTAATAAATATATATATATACCTCGAACCAGTCGATAGTACAGCAGTTCACAAGCGTTGGATAAATCCTTATCCTCCGTCTAAATGCTTCACCAATCGGACTAAAGCACAACAACAAATGTAAATTCCTCTTACACCTATCACGGAAGAATGAATATATCCTGTAACGGGGGTAATTTGCGTGCCGGTCCCCTCCTTGTGCGGCAAGTCGAACACTCTGCAAAGTAAGAAAATATTTAATTATTATATATCCTACTGTTTAAAACTCATTCGGTCACACCTTCGTATTTTATAAATTTTTATGTTTAGTATAATTATTTTATCCTACACAAGAGCTGTAAGAATTATTTATTAGAGACATGTGAACATAAACCAATTATTTTCATATGTGATATTACATTCTTAAAAATCACTTCTTTAAAAATTGTCACCGGTGTAAAATATGTTTGAGTAGACCATAGACCTTGTTCATCGGAAGTAAACATTTATTTAAGTCGGACATGTGTTATTTTAAAAAGCCGAGAAAAAAGCCGATTTTCTGTAACATTTTTTTTTTCTTAATGACATTTACAACTGTATTAAATAAATACATCTAGTAAATTTCAACATAATGGATATAATGACATGAAAACACTTGTTGAGTAACTACCCAATGGTAGCACTCCAATGTTATGTCTACATTAGATGAAGGCGCCATCTTCTTTTCAGACGCCTCGAAGTGGTATCAGGAATTGAAGAGGAAGCAAGGTTAGAAACGAGAGGGTTGGGATGATTCTGAAGTTTATTATGGAAGAATAGGTATCTGGATTGGGCCAGGAAACAAAAGAAACATTAAGGTCATTATGGATGGTTTTATTTGTAACAAAGTAGTCAGCATTGAGGATTTTACGAAGGATTTTGGATTGTAAGGATTGGATACGAGAGGAATTCGATAGCCCCATAGTTCAACTCCGTAAGTCCAAATAGACCTTATTATAGTCAAGTATATGAGTCTTTTGTAATTAATTGGAAGTTGAGAGCGTTTGTCTACTAAGTGCTGAAGCAATCGGAAACGTCGAGCGGTTTCTTGCCGTTTCAGTCTAGTATGAGGATTCCAAGTTAGTCGTTTGTCCAGGTGGAGTCCTAGGTATCGTATTTGCTCAACAGGGATAAGTGGAGTATTGTTAAAGGAAACTGTAGGACAGGATGTCGTTGGTTTACGACGGCTAATCTTCTCTGCATCGTTCTAATTTTAGTATGTGTACCGCCGAAGCGAGTACTCTGTAACATAGTTTCAATTTAAAATCAATTCTAATAACTTTTTCTTTCATGATTCAACTTGAAGATTCTTAAATGAAATCATCATAAACTCTTTGAGTTGAACATACAAGGCAAAAATTGGCTTTTCTCCGCTTTCTCAAAATGGAAGATGTACTCATACTGTCTCATATATAACATTAAAAAAAATATTTTGGGATTTACTCTGAGTGCAGTAATTATAAGTCTCCTGAATGTAACGTATTAAATATTTGTTATTGCTCTGTACAACAGGCTAATACCTTACATGGAAATATACACAGTTGGTGATTATCAGCCAGGTTTTTGTAAGAACATGTCTACAATTCATCGAATTCGGCCACTCCCTGAGCATACTATTTGTAGACTTTGAGGCAGCTTACGACTCCGTAATTAGAAAAAAACTGCACATTTTAATAGAAGAAATGGGTATCCCTAGAAAACTCATTGGGCTAAATGGGTGTATCATGGAAAATAATATATGCCCAGTCCGGATAGGCGGAAACAGTAGTAGCTCGTTTGGCGTGAACACAGGGCTGAGACAGGGTGACGCACTGGCAATACTAATCTAGTACTGCATAGAATTGTTAACAAGACGGGACTGAACAATGGCAACATAATATTTACAAGAATGGTACAGATCCTAGGGTATGCAGATGATGTAACAATTACTGGAAGATCACAAGCCGAGGTGAAGCAAGCGCTCCCCAAGATTGAGCATTAAGCGAAATATATGAGAATACAAATTAAACCAAATTGATGTGCATTAGGAAACATGATGTGGTCTCACAACAAGTTAGATCCGGCGAAAATGCTTTTGATGCCGTTCCGTACTTCCAATACGTGGAGACTACGTTAACAGAAAAGATGGAAGAAGAAGCTTAAATAAGATGCAAATTAGCAGTAACTAAACAGGGAATATTTCTGCCTATCTAAAATTAGCTAGTCCAGTCAATGAATGCCAATGAAGGGGGCATAGAAGGAAATGGGGCGGCACAATATTTGACTTTGAGGTATTTTTTTTTTACTAGAAAGGAGGTAAACATACTAAAAGTCCCCACTCCTCGGCGGTGAGCCGGATGTGGAGGGGAGAGTGACGCCTTGAAGGTCACTTTTTTTCGATTTTTTGCTTGCACCAAGAAAACTATCCATCGCATCAACTATAGCTGATTTCGCCCAAAAAAAAATTTGCCTCACGTTTATTGGTGTTTTCGGGTTTTCGCATGTAGCAGGAAAACTATCCATCGCATCTACAAAGACGTTCTATACGAAATCAAAGCTAATAAAAATCTAAAGATGGTTGAATATATACCATTTTTCGCTTTCTTGCTTAGTTGACGAGATATCCGTCCTCAATTTCGCTAATGTGGAAAAAAAATGTTTAATCCCATGTTTTTTTACTGTATTTGACTAACTAACTCATAATCAATCATATTGTAAATTTTATTAGCTTTAATTTTTTGTAGAACTTCTTTGTCGATGCGATGCATAGTTTTCCTGATAAAAGCTCGATAAACAGCAATTTTTTTCGAAATTGGCCATAATTGAGGAAGAATAACTTGGAAAATAAGCGTAGTAGAGATAAAATGTATATAATCAATCATGTTTCAAATTTTATCAGCATTAATTTTGTATTGAACATCTTTCTTGATGCGATGGATAGTTTTCCTGACATAATCGAAAACCCCAATCCAAGGGGCGCCCCACATCTGACTCAACACCCAGCATTGTGGACTTTTAGTATGTTTACCTCCTTACTAGTCCGAACAATATACTAATGTCGAAGATTGTGTCCCCGCCATTTCCTTCTATAATCATTCATTTACTGAACTAAGGCTAGATCGCACTACGAAAATAAGGTTGTACAAATATCTCATAAGATCAGTAGCAACGTACGCATGCGAAACATGGACGCTCAACAAATCAGCGCAAAGGCTTGTTCGCATCGAGAGTAAGACCCTGAGACGCATTTTTGGACCAGTCAAAGAAAACGAAGCTTGGTCTCTACGCCGGAGTGCGGAGTTGGACGGTTAATACCAGGACTTGAGTAACTCCAATTTCACTAGGTTGCAGAGAACAAAATGCATTGGTCATCTCATAAGAATGGAAGACTATAGGTGCCTTCTAAAATCATACACAAACATGCCAGCTGGGACAAGATTCAAAGGAAGACCCAGAGCACGCTGGCAGAATAGTGTCCTCACAGACATAAGGCGAGCAGGAATGAGCATATCACATGCTGCAGATAGGATTGTTTGGGATAAAATAATCGAGCAAACCAAGGACCGCTTCATGGGTCTGTCTCCACATTAAATAAAAAAGAAGATTCTGGGATTTAATTTTGTTATTTATTTTTATTATAGTTTCAGTAGATTGGGAATTTTTACAAACTTAAATGAATATACATACGCACTAAGGAATAAGATCATACAGAAGAATGTTAGTCAAACCCAGATTGTCTGTAGCGCAATTGATAGTTGTAGGAAACAAATATCGTTGTGCATCTTTGACCAGCACTGAAAAAGTTTTTTTTTCGATGAATGGACTTATTATAAGTGGACAGGAATATTTGATTGTAAGCAGACACAAAAAACTTCATGTTCCTAATAGCGAATCTAGGATACAATTTTCGGTAGGGGGTCGACAGTGGAGACCTGGGGAACAGATGCCTCCTAGCAGAAAGAGTCTTCTCCAAACAAATTTTTAAAGATCACTGAGTATAACCACTCTGTGACATATTGGCAAAGCTGCTGCTAAGGTGGTTTTGGGCTAGTCTGTAGGATCTCGTGTCAGCTCCAATCCCATGTTCTCTTACTATATCGAATATCTCGGAGCAGCAAGGAGATGCACCATTACAGAGATGGGTGACTTACATGGGACACAGAGACCAGAGGACTAAATGAATCAGGACTGTGAATCAACGCTTAAAGGTATACATTAGCTAGATGAATAAGTTAAATGGTGGCTCTTATTTAGTCCAGAGAATTGTGTTTTTTCCAGATAATGGGGAAAACCCATGATTTCAAAGATGATTTCAAAAGGATCCTGCATAAAAATAAGAAGTGGTAGACGTTGATTAAAAGAGGATGTGCAAACCGAAGTTAGATGGGTTGGGTGGCCGGGCGGAAAAATAATTACAACTTCAAATCCCGGTGCCCGGTGTGACTTTTATGTATACATAATTACCCGCCCTTTCCCCTGACCCGGGAAACCCCCGTGTAGCTTAAAAGGCAAGGAAGCTGAGAAAAAAAAATCCAAGTTAGATGAGATGTAAAGTCGGTTTTAAAAGGGTTAATTAATTAAAAACAACTATCATATGAAGTGTCAGAAGGAAAAACTAGGTAAGATACTTTTCTTCTTAATTGAGTTATTGGTGCCATTGGATTCTAACTGAAAATCTGTACTCTTTCAAGCAGTATGATGGAGACAAACAAAAAAGACTATAGTTATTGAATTTATTTTTTTCGGATTAAAAGTCCCATAACAAATAAACGGCTCATCTATAGTGTTACTGTATGAGGAAACTAGATAAAAAAAAAATTCCCTTGAAGAAAGCAGATTTTCATTCATAATTAATTAAAACCAATGATTCAAATATAAAAAAAAAATAACGCCTCCTATCCTCCCCTCCTGTTTCTTTCTATACTATAATTTACTTTATTATTTTATATTAAAGAAATTACAAATAATACTCAATATTCTAAAATAAAAAATATTCTATCCTAATTTGTTTCTATCCTAATTTTTATTATAATTCTCTTGAAGGATGCAGATTTTCATTAAAAATTCAATTCAATCAATAGCTCAGTTACCAGTATTGAGCAGTACAAAAAAAAAATTACCTGTTTTCTCCCTGATCATTCACATAACACAATATACTTTATTTGGAAAGAAATTTGTAATACTGCTCTGTATTTTAAAATAAAAAACTGTTTCCTATTCTATTTTTTATTTATTTATTTTTTTGTATTGAGATTATAGACAAAATCTTATTTTGCCTATTCCCTATTCTAATATGTAGCTATCCTAATTGTCTGTTTTTCAACTATGCCTATCACGAAATCTCCGTTTTTTTTATTTTTTGTGAACTCATTTTTACTTCTAGGTGTGTGATACAAGTTTTCTTAATTAATTCTTTATTTCTCGTTTTTCTTTTTCGTCATATTTCAGTACTGATCTTTCCAATAATTATATTTTTGTTTTTGATGAATGGATTTGATTTTCATTTGTTTATATTAAGATTCCGTTTGTTTAACACGATTCATTGTATTGCGTAATCAACTATTTTAAGTAAATAAAAATTATTTTTGAGATTAAGATGAAGTATACATAACATTATATATGATGTGACCATATCTGATACTTTAATGACATATAAGAAATAGCTTTCTTACTTCAATGATTTCTACGATCTCATCCAATCCGAAAATATTCGGTACTTCTCCTGTATTTAACATGACGTCTATATCTTGCAAAAATTTCTCGTCCTTTATTTGAGAATCGCTAAATAGAAAAGCATGGTGCTTATTTTGAATCCCCACATATTTTAGCAATCGCTTAATGTCTTCATGCCATTCGTCCGTACCTAAGAAGAAAAAAAAATTATCTTATTAAACCTGAGACGCACTTTTTTAAATTATAAATATTCAAAATTTACTGATATATTGATTGTTAACAAAGCAATCGAGGAAAACATACCGTAGTTTTTGCTTATTTCTGGTTCAAATAATGGCATTTCGTAAACATACGTAGCCAATTTTACAAGTGATTGTCTACCGCAACCACTTACTCCAACTAACAAACCCTGGTCTCCCGGAGTTGATATTATTCGGCATATGTGTACTAGATGAGCAACTGCATATCTGAAATTAAAAAAATAATTACATTTACAATGTTTTTTTTCTCAAAATTTCTTTAATGAAAAGTATTACGGATATAAAAAAAATATATAAGAAAATGTGGATGAATAATAAAAAATATGAAGGTGAATAAGATTAAGATCTTAATCTCATTATAAAATATGAAAAACAACTGCTTTATGCCAACTTTTTTATTATTAGTGTTGCCCAAATGCGAGGCAGTAACGAGTCTTGGTCTTGCGAACTCAGTCCTGGTCATGGTATTGGTCTTGCATAGTCTCGCAACAGTCTTGTAGTTACTTATTAGCTTATTACTATTGAGATGTAATTGTTATTTTTTAGATTAGAGAAACCTAACTAAGCCCGAATGATAAACTATATGAGTTAAATGCAAAAGTATATTGGTTATACCAATTCTGTAAATATAGTAACTAAGATTGTCAAGTATTAGTAACTATTTTGCCTTAACTTTTATTCAAAAACCAGTCATGGTCTTGGTCTTCCAACAGTTGCACGTTGCAAGACCAAGACCGATTTTGGGCAACACTAGTTATTATATTGTCATTATATACTATCATCAGTAGCTTAGGCAGGTATTATTCATTCGACTATTTATTCAGGTCCAAAAAAGTGAACGGTAAATATTACAAATTTTTACACAACGAAAAAGAATACTGGCGCTGATACTGGAGGGAGGAACATGTCTGTCAAGTGGGCCACTTAGTCCTTTTCGCAAACCCCTGTCGGCTACCTTGAGATTGCACCCGCGAACTTGCCGAAAAGGGAATGTCAAGATTCATCTCCGAGAAATGAAAATTAGCCGACCCAGGCGGGAATATAACTTAAAAACGTTCAGAACCAGTCTTGGACAAACACCCTACCATGTCCGGCCATCCAGTATTCGAAAATACTATAAGCATATTAGTAATTTCAAATGTTCAGCAAACTAATACATGTAATTTTAAAAATCCAGAGAGATCAGGACAAGTGCAAAATAAAACAAAATAATTTCGAAAAAAAATTTGATTTTAATAAACTAAAGGCTAAAGCTCATAGAAGTACATTTGAAGACGTTGTTGACTATTGATATTTTGAACTAAACGATGGGATGTATTGCTCATAAAATATATATTGCGCTTCTTAAAAAACAACTATGAAGAATACTGCTAATTTTTATTTCTTGTAAAATAAAAAAGCCTGAAACACCAAAGCAAATCAAAATGCAGTTGAAATAAAGTTCAATTTTTACTAAACAAACTCCACTTGACTTGGGGGCAGTTGGCTGATAACCATCTCCCACAAAATGTATCTTGTCACAATAAATAGAACACTGACGTGGTTTGTACACCTTCTTAGAATAGATCACGAAAGAATCGCCAAGAAGGCCTTCGAGACTCTTGTAAAAGGAAGGAGACCAAAAAGAAGACCCCCATATCTTCTGAGAATACGGTCTCAGAGAGCCATTCGAGAATGTCTAGATTGGAGTATACAATCTATGGCACAAGATCGGCAAACACATGGCCCAAACTCTCCAAGTGATAACTTATAGTCATACAAAGTATTGAGTTGACCAGATAATAATAATGGAATTCATTATTTCTTTATATTGACCCTCTATAAAACAAACTGTTTACGTTTTAGGGGTTATTCTTTTGTATGGGTATCAACAATTATTAATGGGTGAAAAATGCTCAGGACGCAGTCATTATAAATATTTTATTGGTGCCGACGTTTCAATCCAAACAGGTGGGTCATCATTAGGGCGTGTTTCGAGCACTGACCCGCACGTTCGGCTTGTAACGTCGTCACCATTAAAAACTTTATTATGACCGCGCCTTGAATATTTATCACCCATGATATGTAGAACACTCGATAAACGTTCTTCAACAATTATTAATCCTCTTCAAAACAAAAACGTTTTTTATCTTCTGTAGCGTTACACTATTCGGAAATGATTCAGTCTAAACTAAGAAGTCAAAGCGTAATTTTCGCATAATTTCGTTTTATGAGAATAAAGTCCGTCGGAACGGGACCCAAACGACCAGAAATGTTAGTGAAGTAATGGTAGAGTGAATGAGTTAACCGCTCAACGATAGTTTAAGAAATTTCGAGAGGAAGACTTTAGTAATAAAGAAAAAAAATGTTCATGGAGGACCTTATTCTTTTGATGACGACGGTCTAAGAGCAACGACAAAATCAAGAACATGCAGAGAAACTCCCAGTTAACGAATCGACCATCGCTGACTACCTCAATGCACAGTAGGAAAAATAAAAATCCTTCAAATTGATGTCCCTCGTGCATTAAACTACCACCAGAAAAATCTTCTTTATAAAGTTTTCGCTACACTTTTTAACTGAAACAAAAACTAATATTTTCGGTCAGGCTGTCAAGGCCTTTCGCCTAATGCCTAAAATTGTTTTAGATATCCGTGCCACTCTCTAAGAAGTAAGAAATTGTTAATAGAAACCTGTTAGAAAATGCATTTCCAGAATTTCTTAGTAATAACGATTCAGCTCTCTACATATAGGGAATGGCGTATTGAGAATTGAGAAAAAAAGAACGAACTTTAATTGATACTAATAGTTTCGTATCAATTATTATATTTTAAAACTATAAACATGCAGTTCTGGACGTTCAGAATTTCCAGACGGCCCAATAAAATTCAATAAAAACCAAAATTGAATTTTCCAATTAAGTCCGTGGTATTCCTTATTTCATTTTGAGTTCAGTATTGTTTTAAAATTCCATACTATATTTCAGCAACATTTTTCAATTTTGTACTGACGTTACTGTTATAAGAGGGGAACTAGTCCTGGAATTGGGATTTGTAGTAATCTTCGCCAAGCACTGACGGATGTCTAACCAGAAAAAGGCCCAAGAAGGAAATCGAACCTACACCGTTTCAAACCACTCGAGGATCCTCACATGGCCTCCAAAATTGTACTAATATCACAATTTCATCAGAAGTTTCATATGATCAAGTAATTAATATCTTAAAACTATTTAAGCACAATAATAGTTTTATTTATGTTACATATATTGGTAAATATCTCGTATTAGTATTTATGTTCATAATAATTATGGTCTATAGTATAGGTATATAGAAGAGATTTTTTCTCAAAAGAGAAAACAAATTATTTATATATTTTCTAAATGACTTTTGGCCAAGGAGCACCAAAAAAAAAAATCGTTTTCTTTACCATCCTTTGCCGATGTTTTAGATTTCTGAGCCGTTTTTAGTACCATCTGTAACATTTATAATTAGTCATAGATCATAAAAATATTTCAATTTCAACTTCAACACATGGATTGTTAACTCAATGTATATCCACTGTCATAATTCTTACATAATTTAATTACAGTATATACTGTTTATTAATTTAACTAATTTTAATTTAGATAAATTTAATTACCTGTCATGCATCTTCTTTATAACTTTTTTATCATTTTTAAACAAAATGGTCCTTGTAATCCATTGTCCGTAAGGTGATATCGTTGATATTACTAGATATTTTTTATTGAGAAAAAAAGAATTCATTTTGCCTCAATTAAGGGCATTGAGTATTTAGAATGAATGAAGTACAATCATACCATACATACAATAAAGAAAAACAAGATTATAACAAAATGAAATAAAATAAAACTTGGAGTAACAGAATAAATCGAACATGATACAACATTAATTAAAAACTAAAAAAAAAAAAAAATAATAATAAATAAAAACACATTCAAACTTATTTACAATATTTACAGTCAGCCGAGAGAGCTCCGAGTCGGACCCTTTCCCCCACGTGTGGAGGACAAGGCAAGACTCCAAGAGATCCCAGCGCTTCTCTCTCAGCCGCATCACTAGGATGGGAATCCAGTGGAGACTGAGAGAGGGCACTAAAGCCACATACTCTCATGACTTGAGTGGAGAAGCTGGCCATTGCCAGTGACGTCTTTACAAAAGATCTCGAGGCCACTGCCGCTTCAACCTTCGAGGAGGATTGTAGGGATGACTGGAACTGGATAAGGATTGCGCTAAGGGATTAGGATGATAGGTTAGGTTCTGATGAAAATTTGAAAATCGGGATGGAATAACGTCAAGGACATAAGGGATGTTAAGGTCATGATGTAAGGTTTTGTTCGTAACATATTAAGGATCATTGACTATTATACGGAGGATTTTAGACTGGAAGGATTGGATGCGTTTGATGTTCGATAATTTAGTTGTCCCCCACAGTTCAAGCCCGTAGGTCCATATGGGTTTCAGTATGGTCTTGTATATTAATAGTTTGGTTTCAATTGAGAGGTTAGATTTTCTGTTAAGTAGTCTGTATAACTGGCCAAGTCGTCGGTTAAGCTCTTGTATTTTAAGTCTGGAATCTGGGTTCCACGTTAGTCTTTTGTCTAAAAGGAATCCAAGATACCGAACTGTGTCTGAGATGGGAAGAGGTACTGAGTTAAAAAGGATATGTAGACAGGATCTGCGTCGGAGGGTAAAGGTGACATGCTTGCATTTGGATTCATTGATCTTGATGCGCCAATTGTTGCACCATTGTTCTATTAGGGAGATGTGTCTTTGAAGGTTTAGGGATGCTGTTTCAGGGTCTGGGTGGTAAGATAGGATGGCGGTATCGTCAGCAAATGTTGTTAGAAGGGTATTAGGATGGGTTGGGATGTCAGCTGTAAAAAGAATGTAGATAACTGGACTCAAGACACTGCCTTGTGGAACACATGCCTCAACTGCATAATAATTGGAGAATTCGGACAGTGACTTGAAAGGAACGATTTGAAAGGTAGAATCTGAGGACTAGGTACAAGGATTGGGTTTAGTTTATTTGATTCAAAGAAGAAACATGTCCTACGGAATTCACGTAATTTTAAAGCATTAATGGAAAAAAACAAATTCACAGCTGCTTAACCAACTCCTGAAATTATTAAACATGATGGTTAAGGTGTCTTTGACCAGCGCACTGCGCGGCGTTGATTTAACGGCGATAGTAGACGAGATACGACGTTGGAAAGAACGAAGAGGTCTCCGGACGACCATTAATGGATATCGATGAGGTTCTTTTGGAAGCTGTTGAGTCAAATGCATGCACGAGTACTCGCGAACTTCCCAGGGTGTATATTGTGTCGAAAGATTCTGTTACTCGCCATATACTATCCATGGGGGTGGTGGAAGAGAGCAGTAGACTGGTCCCTCACGAACTTACTCCTCAGGTATCAGCTAAGAGGTTAGAAATTTGTGAATATTTATTGGAAAACCCTTCTGATATGAGACTTCTGCCCCATCCACCATATAGTCTAGACCTCACACCATCGGATTACAACTTATTTAGATCCATGGCCTATTTTCTTCAAGAGAAAAAAATTGATAAATTTGCGGAAGTTGAAATTGCGGTCTAGTTCTAGCGGAGTTCTTTGACAGCCATTCAAAAGAACGATATCAAGCGATTGGCTAGCATATGGCTAATGACGATAGATAACAAAGGACTACACTTTAAGTATTAATTGTATTTTATATCAAAGAAATAATAATACAAATATTTGATTGAAAAACGGCCATTTTTTTTTTTTTTTTGTACACGTTATTAAATACTATACAATTTTTTTTTTAATATTATAGTAAATTATATATAATTTTAGTAATATCAAGGAAAATATCTTACTGACAATGGATTACAAGAACGAGTTTGTTTAAAAATGATAAAAAAAGTTTTAAAGAAGGTTATCATAGATAATTTAATTTATATAAACTATAATAGTCTAAGTTAATTATATTTTATACTGATTTGCATAATACAAATTATATACGTATTATGTACTTACATATACATTAAGTTAACAATCGATGTATTTAAATAGAAATATTTTATTGGTCCATAGTTAATTATAAATTTCACAGATAATACTATAAAATGGCTCATGACGCTGAGTCTTCGGTAACATAAGGATGATTAAGAATACAAATTATTTTTTGTGACTCTTGGCCAAAAATCTTTATATAAATAAATAATAAAATGGCACCAAACATAAAAAATATCACAAAAAAGTTAAATATATATATATATATATAATTAGTTGGAGTCCTTACTGAAATAGAATGACATTTAATTTGTTTTTGTGAGAAAGATTATAATTGGTCAAAGAATCCTGCATTACTTCTAGGAATCGTTCTAGCGAAACAACTTCTTCATATTTTTTGTCTTCATCTTCTTCAACATCTAATGCACTTGTGAATAAAAGCTTGTTCAAATGTTCAACCCTAACCTGCAAATGATTTTTTTTTTAACATTCCAATTTAGGCGAATTCACTAAAAGTAAAATATATAAATATAAATATAAAAAAAAACTTATACAATCTTATTCTTATTAAAAATAAAATGAAATACTATTTTTATATATTATTGTTTAATTTAGGTTTAAACAAATATTCTGACCCGTCCAAAAGTATAGTTACAATAAATTTAGATTCGAAGCAATTTTTTGTTTTCATTATCTTAATTACAATTTGTTAAATAATTCGTTTAAAAAAATAATTGGTAACATTTTGCTATACATATGGTAATTATAAATGCTTAATTAAAGTTTAGATTGGTAATATTATTGATTACATATAGGTTTAAGTAAAATGGCGAGATTGGTTAGGTAAAAAATAGTACTATATTTGGAGATATGTTTGGACAGTTGTATGTTATTGAAGTTTCATGGGGAATTAAGTGGAATACAATATTTTTTTTTTCTTTTAGTTAAACCCAAATAGGCAAGTGTATTTCCTTCATTGAAATAAGTAACATCTAAACAAAATAATATGTCGCAGGAATGTGTATTTTTATAATTATTGTTTAATAAATAATTGATAAAATAAGAAGAAGAAGGTTTATAAGAAGAGTAGTTATTATTTATATGACGTTAAGAGGAGGTGACTGGACGGCGGTTAATCCTCCAACAACTTGGACATATTGAGTTTTGGAACCAGTCAGAATACACAGAGCCAGTGACTTTGAAGGAAATACACATTTTGTTTTACGTTTTCACCTTTTACCTATGAACCAAACCACTAGCGGATCCAGGATTTAATTTTGGGGGGGTGAGGGCTTCAGCCCGAAAAGTTTTTTTTTTCATAAAAATAACGATAATTACTTTGGAAAAACAGAAAGAAACTAACTACCTATATGAAATGGTGTTTAAGTTATTCCTTAAGTACTTTAAAATGTAATTACACGAACAATAATACTTTAAGAGGTATTTTTAAATTTTTTTTTCCCATAAAACATGGTTATATTTTTCCATTTTCAGCCCGAAAGCCACCCTCCCCCCGTAGATCCGCCCGTGAACCAAACGAGATCTGGAACTGAGCGTAAAAATTGTTACTTGTAACAGTAAATAATTGATTGTTTTATGAATAAATGTTTGTATCTACCCTTTTTTAATGCATATACATAATCTTTTGTAATAAATTTGCCCAACAAAAAATTTTTTTTTATTTATGAAATTTACAACGACATGAGAACACTTGTAGACAAACCATCCATTGGTAGAACTCTGATATTTTTTTTTAAAATTAGTAGATCAGGAGGCCATCTTCTTTTCAGATCCCAGAAATTTATTATGGAAGGATAGGTATCTGGATTGGGCCAAAACGGAAACATTTCGAAACATTAAGATCTTTATGGGTTATATTATTTGCGACAAAGTAAGAAGGATTGAGGATTTTACGAAGGGTTTTTGATTATAAGGATTGGATACGAGGGAAATTCGATGGTTTAGTGGAGCCCCAAAGCTCAATTTCGTAAGTCCAGATTGGCCTTATTATAGTCATGTATATGAGTCTTTTGTAATATATAGAAAGTTTAGAGCGTTTGTCTAGTGCTGGAGTAATATAAAACGTCGAGCAGTTTCTTGTCGTTTCAGTCTTGTATGAGGATTCCAAGTAAGACATTTGTCCTGGTGAAGTCCTAGGTGTCGAATTTGCCCAACAGGGATAAATGGTGTGTTATGATAGGGTACTGTAGGATAGTAGAGGAAGTCATAGGTTTACGACAAAGATTAAAGGTGATTTGTTAGGATTTATTATGCATATTTTAAAGTTAAAAATCACGAATAATTGAATTTCTATGGGATTTTACCAGGAAAACGTAAATAATATTTTTTATTTCATTTAATTTTTTTGAGAAATCTGTGATCGTATCTTTTTATTTATTAGAGATATCTTTGAATTGTTGGATGCAGGAATCACTGAACAGGCCAGCTAGTTCTCCCTATACGGCTACCCTAGGCTTCCTATAAGACAATCTAGGTAGACATTTTTTTTTAAATCATCTCTGAGTGATATTATATTAAGTTATGGACAGAATAACGCAAATTAAAAACGAAATTAAACGTGATAAACAATAATAATGGAGAAACGCTTTCAGCGAGGTCTAAGACATATATTTATGTTGGCAACAACTATTGATGAACGCTGATGGCACTAAGAAGGCACTGAAGAAGAAGAATACTTTGAAAATTTATATAATATCTAAATTATTAGTATAAGGAAACACACTGGTTATACCATGTAAAGCATATTGATAAACTGATAGCTTATAGCTTACTAAATATACTTATTAAACCTTAGCGTATGAAAAATTATTAAATAGAACTTGTGCTGAGCTCTTAATGTATTAAAATATAATACAAATATTAGGTTTGTGCGAAGTATTTGGATGGGTTAGCTATCAATAATAATGATCAAAAATACGTACCTCGGTTTTCGCTTCTGGATCATCGGTTAAATCTCCCATTATAAGATCAAAATTTTCCTTAAACGAATCCTTAACGGTTTTCTTTATGGCTCCTAATATCAATTCCCGGTCATCAACACTCACCAATCTATCATAGAATACCCGTAAAATTTCATGACACCACATTCTGAAACATCATCGAATGTGATATTATTTTAATGAATAGAAATGTTATAATGCTTAAATAAACGTACAAAATATTTAATTGCTTACATACAAATACAACAAATATTTCAATCAGTGATATTAAATTCGCGGTATTTTAATATCACTGATTGAAATTAAAAGGCGCACTACCTTCCATTCTTCCGATCCTTTATCATATTTATAATTATTCTCTTCAAAATGCCACCTTACCTACATCCTGGAAAACCGACCTAGTACGCCCCTTGAAGAAGACCTCTAACCCATCAACCATTAATGATTTCCGTCCAATTTCTCTTCTTTCAAACCTCTCCAAACCTTTGGAACGATTAATCCAATCCCAGCTCTCCCATTTTTTAGAGCACAATAATCTCCTAAACCCCTACCAGTCCAGGCCTGGCTACTCCACTCAGTCTGCCCTAATCAAAATTTCCCAAGACTTTCGTACAGCCATAGATCACCAGAAACTAACCATCCTTATTTTCCTTGACTTCTCTAAGGCTTTTTATTCAATAGACCACAACATCCTCCTAACCAAACTTAAAAATATATCCTTTTCTTCTAGTGCCCTTAATTGGTTCCAATCCTTCCTAACCGATCGCTCCCAGTATGTTGTGATCCCTAATAGCCCCCCTTCTGAATCTCTACCCTTGTCCAGAGGTGCCCCACAAAGCTCTTCCCTATCCCCCATTCTTTTTTCCATCTATATAAATGACCTCCCATCCTCAATCCTGCACTGTCAATGCCACTTGTACGACGTTCAGATTTACCTCTCCTTCAATCCGACCGATTCCTCAGATGCCATTCTAAAAACCCAAGAAGATATTAATATCATAAGTGAATAGGCAAACCTCAACAGGCTCACTCTGAACGCTAAGAAAACGAAAGCCATCTTGATTGGATTCCCCACACTCCTCAAATCCTTCCCGGCATCCCTCAATCTTCTCATGAACAACTCACCTATCTTATTCCATACTACCGTTAAAAACTTGATCAAACCCTCTCCTGGAAACCGCACATCTCTCAAAATTCCCGTCGAACTATTTTCACCCTAAAACAGTTCAATCGGATACGTTATCTCCTTCCATATAAGTCCCGTCAACTCCTAGTTTTCTCTCTTATTTTCCCTCACTTCGACTATGGGTGTATGGTGTACGATGGACTCAAGGACTGGAGATCAAGAGATCTCGAGGCCAAACTTAATTGCGCATTACGTTTTGTTTTCGGAATCTCAAGAGATACGCATATTACCCAGTATTACACCGAGTTGAAGTGGCTCTATCCATCCTATCGCCGTCAGTACTTCCTAGCTACCTTTCTGTACCAGATCATTAGAACTCATGGACCCTCCTATATTTTCCATAGCTTACAATTCAAATGCTCCATCCAATCCCGTCTTACTAGATCTCGCACTTCCGATCTCTATCCACCTCCTCACCGAACTGCTGCGTATGACAAATCATTTGCAATTCAAGCCGCCTCACTCTGGAATTCCATCCCTGCTGATATTCGACACACGCAATCAGTTTCCTCTTTCAAACCCCTCCTCCTTAAACACCTACTCCTTTCTCAATCCGCCTAATCACGAGATATACCTAAAAGAGCTATCTAAGTACCCCCCGAAAATATATTTCTGTTACTTTAGTTTTCTCCATTTGCATTTTGTACGATTATAATGTATGTATATTTACGCTTTTTATGTCTTTTCTCTCTTTCCGTCTGTATTTTTACTTTTAAATAACCATATTGTAAACATCTACTCTATTTGACCACTTACACATGAATTTAGCACTTATAATTCGTTCTAAAGTGACAACAGTCCCAGAATAATAAAATATATTTTCATTTCATTTCATTAAATTAAACAGATACAAAATAACGTTAGAAAACATTTATACGTTATATTAATATCACCTGTAATCAGAGATGGGCAATTGCTACTGTGAGTTTATTTTAATCAAATTGAATCGCTAGTGGAAATTCAATCCCTACTTCAGTTAATCCTTTGACATCAACTGAAGTAGTAATAAAATTCTTTAGTATTTAAAAAAGGCCAGTATTTGAGTAAATATTTGGTACTCAATACTCAGAGTATCGTTTGCCCATCTCTGCCTGTAATAACCACTCAGCCGTGGAACAAAATAAAATCAATAGAATATAATTTTAACAAAACTAATGAACGTTTCTTTCTCTCGTAACGCAATCTGATAGAGTCAATGCTTAAATGTCTTATCACTACTAAGTTGTCCTAATTTCTTTTTTATATTATTTTCCTCTCCTTCCAATTATCTTTGAAGTAATTTATTGCTCCTTTCATCTTAAATGCTAACACTTTTAAAAATTAATTTTCCCCTCTTTTCCTGCGAGTTAGAAACCGGATTTGACACATATTATCGGGGTCACCGCTTGAAATCATTAGGTGCGATGAAAGTAAGAGATCAGATATTCATGTCCCTTTTTTAATTTAAATTCATCAATAACTGATCGATGGAAACTATAGGGCTCTCTGTGACAAGATTCTTGCACACCTCTTCTTTGCGATTTTCGGCAATCTATTTTTTATTTTTTTGTTAAAGGTTTTATTTTCCCTAATATATGCTTTCTTATTCTTTTGTTTTCTCCATACGATAATACAAATAAATAATATTTTAAAATAAAGTGAATTTAACGAGATTCTAACATGCCAATGGAAGTTATTGATTAAACGACTTGTAACAACACCCTTTCAACACATCAGACATAAAGGATCCAACTACTTATCAAAATACTATGTAGGGATGTTTGGAACTGTTTATCAAAGTGAAGATAAAGAAAAGAGAAATTGGACTGTATGAGAATAGAATTATTTTCCATTTCTCCTCTGAACTATTAATAAAACAAAAAAGAATGAAACTAAAGGTTATTTATACAATTGAGTTAGTTTGGGCGAAATTATATATTCCTGAGTAGAGAGGATTTTTAATTCTGAAATATTTCATGACTTGGGATCCATACCAAATTAGAGAACCACACTTAACCCCACAGTTTTTTTTTAAATTTTATTATTATTATTTTTTTTTTTATATATACATTACAACATGTCATACAGATAAGTTACAAGTTTATGGTTGTAGTAACCTTACACTTGACATAACAGTGGTTTGAATACTACTTAGAAAATTAAAATTAATTTTTTACAGTAGGAAAAATCTCATAAAAACCTATATAAGATATAAATGAAAAAATTTTGTTACAATCATTAAAAGTGCAAGAAAACTAAATATAATCGATGTGTAAAAGGAATATATATATATATATATATATATATATATATATATATATATACACACACACACATACATATACATTTCCACACACACACACATACACATACTTACTCACACAACACACACACACACACACATATATATAGATATATAAACACATACACACACACATACTCGCATATATTAACCCCACAGTAAACTTTTTCCATTAAGATAGTTTGTAGAATATATTCCTTCGAGTAAAACATTTTTTTTTAAGAGTTATCATTTTTCTTCCTATTCCCCTCTCAATATATGCCATTTCCATTATCATCTCCTTTTATGTCTATGTTTGAAATTTTATTAATTGTTAATTAATATGAATCCACTTTCTTTTCTAAGGTAACATTTGTATGAGATGTAAAATCCCCACATATATTATTACAGTAAGGCTCTAAATCGGTTTTACATAAGCACCTGTCATGCTGAAATATCATTAATGGGGTACCGTTGGATTAACTCAAAAATTACCTGCTATTCTCTAGATTATTCCCATGATTATATAAAAGATTTCTAAATAACCTACAAAAGAGGAAAATAATCATCGAAATCGGACAATTATCAGCGAAAATACAACTACTTGAAATTTGGAAACATATTGGTCCCAAACATTAATGAGGTTTTAAACTAATTTTAGTTTCATTTGCCGATTTTATTAAGCTTAATTATAAGATAACAATTGATTTCTTTATCTTATGATACGTTGCATTGTTTTCTTTTCTTATTAATATGTCATTTGATCACGGAACAATGTGCTGTGCGAATTTTTCGCACGGGCCAACCAGTTCAGTTTAGCAAACGCGGAAGTGGACCTTAGTCATTCTGTGGTAATTTGAGGCAATTACTTATTGACAGAGGTCATTGTACTCCTGAGAACAAACTATTGTTAAAATTTCAAATAAATGCTAAAAATATACCTGCTGGCTCATTGTGGCACAGCATTTGACAGATCATTACCTATACGTACATCCATTGCTTAATTACGAGTTTCTATAAAACACCCTTCAAACTTTTTATTTTTTTTATTGAAGATATTTACAACTGTATTACAAGTAAAAATACATTCAGTAAATGTGAACAAAGGTATAAAATGGCATTTTATAGAAACTACCCATTGGTAGCACTCTAAAAATGTATTTAGAAAAGGAGATCTCGAGGCCATTTCTTTTCAGACGCCTCTGAGGGTTGTCAGGGATCGAAGAGGAAGCAAGGTTAGAAACGAGAGGGTTTGGATGGTTCTGAAGTTTGTTATGGAAGGATAGGTATCTGGATTGGGCCAGATCAGAAACATAAGGAACATTAAGGTCGTTATGGATGATTTTGTTTGTGACATAGTAAGAAGCAGTGAGGATTTTACGAAGGATTTTGGATTATAAGGATTGGATACGAATTCGATGGAATTCGATGGCTTAGTGGAGCCCCAGAGCTCAACTCTGTAAGTCCAAATAGGTCTTATTGTAGTCATGTATATGAGTCTTTTGTAATTGACTGGGAGGTTAGAGCGTTTGTCTAGTAAGTGCTGGAGTAGTCGGAAACGTCGAGCTGTTTCTTGTCGTTTCGTTGGTATCGAATTTGTTCAACAGGGATAAGTGGGGTATTATTAAAGGATACTGTGGGACATGAGGTCATAGGTTTACGTCGAAGGGTAAAGGTGATTTGATGGGATTTATTAGAATTTATTTTAATCCTCCAGTTTTGACACCATTCTTCAAGGCTTGTGATGTGCGATTGAACGGTTTGGGGTGCAATTGCTGGATCGTTATTAACTGATAAGACACATGTATCATCGGCATACGTGATAATGACTGTGTTAGGATGGGTTGGGATATCAGCTGTATAAACTGTGTAAAGGATAGGACCTAGGATACTACCTTGAAGAACAACAGCGGACTGGGAAAAAGGGATGAATAGGCATCATTATGATTTACTTTGAAGGATCTGTCAGTAAGATAGGAACGGATAATGAGGAAGTATGTAGGGTGTAGGAATTTACAGAGTTTGTAAAGTAGTCCTGGGTGCCAGACTCGATCAAAAGCCTGTTCTACATCGAGAAAGACTCCCGTAGTTGGGTTTTCTGGTGGCTTTTTGGGTTTATGTATCATTTTGATAATAGATAATTTCCAAGGGTCAGGGAAGTAAGTGGATTGCAGTACAGCATTATATATATATAAGTAAGGAATAGAATGGCTTTCCGAGAGAGCAGTTTTAGGATCTGGGATGTAATTAGGTCGTGTCCAGGAGCTTTTCGGGAAGGTAACCTTTGAATGAAGTCGGATATTTCTGAAGGATGAAAGGCTTTAGGTGGAAGAGACATTTGGAGTGGGATATCCAGTTCTGCTTCAATACATTCAAGGTGATTTGGGTTAAGAATATCGGGGTGTGGATTAAAGGTTTTAAAGAGGTGATGAGCAAAGATTTGTGATTTTTCTTCATGGGATTGGGACCAGGTTTCAGCTTCAGTAAGAAGTGGATGATTACAGTCTTTAAATTTCAGGAGTCTTTTAGTGGTCGTCTATAGTGATTTGTCGGTAGGTGTAAGTTTTTCAGTAAAATTTAGTAAACTTTGAATTTTGTATTTTTTAATTTCAGATTTTAGTTTGTTAGTCAGTTGGGTATAATGAGTTGTATCTGTTGTATATCTGGTTCTATGCCACTTCGATCTTGCTCTGCGTTTTTCCTTCAATAAGATACGAATATGCTGTGGCAAGTCAGTCTTTTGTGAATTGTTAAACTTATTGATAAAAGTATTATTATTTATACTGTCTGTTATTGATGCTGTCAGTTTTTCAATGGCACCATTAATGTCGTCTTTTGTCTTTAGCGGAATTTTTAAGTCTAGGAATTTTTAATTTAGGTGGAAGAGACATTTGGAGTGGGATTTTTAAGATTTTTTAAGTCAAATCATCACAAAATTCGTCCCAGTTTACTCGTCCTGTAATCAATTTAGGAGTTGATGGTTTAGGAGCATAGCTCGAATGTAGTGGAAGCAGAACTGAACTGGTCTGAAGAAAGGTCATCAAGGGATTTGATTATGGTTTGTGAGGAGGAGATCTGGGAAGTTATAAATATATCTAGGATATCGGGACGTTTTTTAAGTGATATTGGCCAATAAGTAGGCCTCATAGGCGAAAGGATTGAATAATTGTTGGAAGTTGAAACACGTGATAGGATGTTACCGCGGGGGTTGGATGTTTGACAACCCCATCGTTGGTGTTTAGCATTGTAGTCTTCTCTAGCAATGAAGCGCGGCGATCCGAGGGATCGGAATAAGGAATCAATGGAATTACCAGGACAGTATACAGCTGAGAATGTGAGATGGAAAGGGCGAGTTGAAAGGACTACAGAAGTTGATTGAATGGCATCAGTTGGAGTGGAAGGAATAATGGAATGGGGTACTGATTTATGTATAAGGATACAAGAACCGGCATGGGAGGTGTTATCTGGGTGATCAGTTCTATAAGTGAAGTAGTCACGTATGTAGAAATGTATTCGTTTAGTGAAGTGAGTTTCAGTCAGTAAAGCAATGTCAATGTTATTATTATGAAGAAATAAGTCAAGTTCCTCACGGTGGTTATTTAGTCCGTTAGCATTCCATAAAAGGATAGTTAGGGGCTTTGTGCTCATCGTGGGAAATTGAATGGAATTTTGGTCAGGATTCTGGTGAGAAGAGTGATAAGTGGTTTTATGGTATTTTGGAGGTCCAATAGGAAGGATGAAAGAATGGAGGTTATATCAGATGGATGTTGATTGTGAATTGAATTCAGGATAGGTTCTTGTGGTGGATTAGGAATATTAGCTGAGGACGGGATCCGTCGTTGTGCACGAGGTGGGTCTAGATTGGAAGGTACTTGTGCTGCACTTTTTTTCTGGGCGTTAGGATGGGACTTTTGAGGATGCTATGGCGGTAATTTGACTCGTAAGTGTATATGATGAGGGAGAATTTGCTGACGTGGGGGATGAGATTGGGGATTGTGAGGTTGAGGTTTGCATTGGGAGATTTGAGGCGTCTGAATTTGAGGCTGCTGCTTCTTCGTAGTGATTGGTGTTTTTCTGCTGAGGTTGAAGTCCTGCTGAAGTTGATCAATTTCTTTTGAAGTAGACGCTAGCTGTGTATTTTGAGTAGTCGTTTTTGGCAATTCTGGAAAATCTGACGGATTATCAATTTCAGGTAGATGGGTAAAACTTTCTTGGTTCAGTTTTACGATTTTCGAGGCTATGCTGAGTTTATAAAAATGTTTATAAACTTTGCATCCTTTGTAGTTTGCTGGATGTTCTTCACCACAAAGGGCACATTTCGCAGGCAGGTCTCGAGGTCTCTGAAAAGTGTCTGATGCGTGTGGGCCGGCACATTTCACGCACCTGGCCCGGTGATGGCAATAAGTCTTTGTATGGCCCAAGTCTTGGCACTTAGTGCATTGGACTATTATAGACTTTTGTCTAGGCTCTTCAAATTTAATGGTGGAATATATAAGCCTCTTCACTTGAAAAATTTCGATGTTATTGCTGGCAGGCTCTAAATCGACGAAAAATAGTGGTAAAGGATATTTTTCCGTTGGGTGTAGTACGCATGATATGTGCCTAACATTGTGACCTATTTCTTCTAGGCCACTTTTGATGGAAGATATTGGGGTGCTTGAGTGTAGTCATAGGACTTGGTGAGAGCAACACCACTCGGTATGGCTTTTCTTGTCTTAATTGTTAACAATGAAAATCAAAGTTTTTGGACGTAAAGTAATTTATAAGTGTTTTGTAATTTTCTCGAGAGTTTGTGTTTATTTTGATATCATTAACTCTGGAGAAACAGCGGAAATTGGTCTGTCCAATCAGACCGGCAATTTCTTGACCAAATGTAATGAAGTTATCGATTTTAGATATGAAAATAGGTGACGGCTCGGGCTCAGAAAACTCTCGAGGCTCCGGAATCTTGCTTGATATTTTATTAACGGAAACATGATTATTGGTGTTAGTGGTGGTTGGTGCAGTTGGCTCTGATGCTATGGTAATTGATTTGCTTCTGGTTTGAGGTGGTATATATTTTGCTCGGCTGATTGTTTAGTTTTAGTAGATTTACTTTTTTCAGTTGACTTTTTAGATTTATTTTCCTCTGCTAACTGTTTAGGTTTAGCTGATTTGTTTTTTTTCTTATTGGGTGAATTAGCTCCCGACCCAGGAGGAGTGTTTCAATGACGTTTTTAAAGTGTTCGTCTTTTTAAATACTGCGAATCTGTTTCGCTAACCTCAGAAAACGGGGTTTCGTCCTCCGAATCTTCACTTGACGAACTCTTATCTAAATTCATATCTTCCATATTATGATAAGAGAGAGAGAGAAAAAAATATCTACTCCTAAATATGACAATTAAAAAGATTGAAGATTACGAAATAAAGTATTAAAAAAATAAACGATATACATAACTACAATCAGAAATAAAATAAAACATTTCTTACAATAAATATTTAAATTAAATAAAACAGTCTCTGGAAAAAAAAAAAAGAGAAAATAAATATAATGTCTTGGGTTCGAACTGAAGACCTGATGACTGAAGGAAGTTAGTAAACAGAGCCCCCGGCCATGAACTTATCGGAATATGATAAGGCACGAAAGGAAGGGAATTAACGGCCTCTCGATCTAACCAAATGAGCACCAATTTATCATTTATTTATTGTTAATAAATAGTACCTCACCTGCGTGTACGTCAACGTAAAAGTGTAAAACTGCTTATTAACTCACTGTTATTTAAGTGTTACACCACAACTTTGAATTTTGAGCACATTACAAAGCAACAAATACAGAGCGACATGAAAGTTATACTGCACTTGCGGCCATTCAAACTTTAAAGTGTCAATTTTACAACCATATCTGACCGACCCACTTTCCAAAAGGTCGCCCCAGGATAAATAAATATAACTTATCTTTAATATTAACTAAAATTCTTTCATTTATCGATAAATAAATTTATCTTACCTGATAAAATTATTTCGTTCAGCCGGCGAATCTTTGCGAAGTAAAAGATGCCCTTGAACTACTCTATTAAAATCACGAATGTTAAATAAGTAATGGCATTTAGTTGGCGTCGGTAATAAGTTACCCACGGACCAGTTATAAATACTCATTGTTGATTCGACTATATCTTTCAATACAGGTACGACATCTGTAGGGAATCCTTGTTCCTGAAAATCAAATAATTTGGTTAGGACAATATTAAGAAGCGGCTTTCAGTAGAAGATAAGCAAGAAAAAATCATGTTAAAAATCTGAAGTCATAAAAGAAAGAGCACACCATCTGATTGACTGATAGAGGTTGAAAAAATTCTTTCACAAAACTCCTCTTCATACTCAACTTATAACTGTGTTTAAAAAAAAAGTCGTTTATTTTTAAGTTAAAAAGTCTACAAATGCCTCCAGTCTACAAAAATGCTTATGCTTCCTCACATATTCTATCATTTATCTCAATAACCTACCCATACACTACGACAGCACTGTAAAAATCAACGGGCTCACCTTTGATCTGCAGCTTTACTGCAGTAACGATAATTTTCCAAATATTTTTTTCGGTTACCCTCTACCTAACCATTTCTGGCAAACAAATGGAGTTTGTTATAGACCTACAACCAAATCTAATCTAACCAGAGTGGAAAAGTCTAAATTCGTTCAGTGGGCACGTCTCGAAATAAATTTCAATCAGCTCAGGCCGGATTCAAACTGGTGTCGCGAGACTCGAGAATGGTAATGTGGTCTCTCTGCATTTTTCAAAACCATCACTACCCTCGGTAAAATTCTAAGATTTCGTAATCCTATAGTTCAAATTGCTCCGTAGTTCTTTGGATCCTCTCTCGTTTCCGAATTCGTGGACTTAGGTGGACTTATTCGTGCTCGACGAGATAGGTATCTCAGCGGGTGCTGGGCTTAACATGAGATTTACGAGATTAACCTTTTTTCATCAGATCCATCTTCTGGTTTTCCAATTGCTGTTATTTCTTTTGTTAACTCACCGAGCTGAAGTGCCGTTTTCCAACAACAATGCTTACTTAATTTTCGTTCATCGTCATCCTGTTTATCTCATTCATCTTTCTACCCTTGATCTCTCCACCTTTTATTCTATTTTTATAATCTTACTCTTCATCATTCTGATCGCTGACCCACTGTTAGATCTTTGAATAAAATATTTCAACCCATCAATTTATATAGACACTCTTATATTTAATTGCTTCACTATTCTTATTTCTGCCACCTCTTTTTTGGAATATATTTATCCGTTTCTGTTTGCCAATCCACATTTACATATTATTCTGAATACAACTTATTCCTTCCTCTAAATTGAACACTACCTTATTGATGTAAGAATATATTTCCATATCATTGATAATTATTAAAGTTTCAGTATGCAGTTATTACCGTGGAACTTTTTTTCCAGAATAAATTTTTTTTAACTACGTTTTATATAAGATTTTGTATTATTTAATCATATTTAATATTTATATATGTTTAGTATAATAATTATAAATTTTAAAAATTTCAATTACAATATATGCTGAAATTTATGACTTTAACTGTTATTCACTCGTAGATTAATATGCTCTGACCATTAAGGCTTTCTTTACAATTATATTTATCAACTATTAACTAAATTATTTTTAATGAATGCGTTTCTTTCTAATAGACATAGATGACCTGAGTGTTTTACACATCTAAGTCAATACTTACAAGCTAACTTTTCTTTACAATTATTTAGTTGTTTTTTTTAAATAGCTTAATCTAGATAATTCGTAAGGAACTCTTACCCTGTAACCAGTAGTGAGGATTTCAGTAAATATTTTTACCATACTGGCTTTATCGAATGAATTGATTCCGAATAGTGAAAAATGACGTAGGAATCGGGCGTACACATCTTGTCTACTTCCTCCAGGCAAGCCCATGGCAGCAATAAAGAACATATCTTCAATCTTCATTTGGCTCATCAATTTCAAGTCGTACCTGAAATAAAATCGATGGATTTTACACGTTTCATACATCTATAAAAATATATTTTTTTAAGCTGAATTACGTTATGACTAAACATTAGGTAACAGAAAAACCTTTTATCATTACAACGTTTAGAAATAATCAATGATTATTAGTTTATTCTTGATTTCAGAATTTTTTAAATACTCAAATGAAGAATTGGTGGGTCAGGGACAGGAAAATAGCAAACTTTACTCAGTGGGCTGATTTGCCAATCTAGCGAAACAGAAGTCAAAACAGGCATCTATATGAAAAATCACGTAATAACTGATTATTATAAATACAACAAAACATCATTTAATCAATGTTTCACTAATTATATTTTTCTGATGACTTTTATTTTTAATAAATTTTGATTAGTTCTTATTTATATAACGAATTATAAAATATAATTAGTTTTGTAGTAAAACTTCAAGTTTTTTTGCACGCCAATTCCAATATTTAAAATTATAAATTTTTAATAAGCCATTAAGGAATTTAATTTAAAATGAAGTTTACGGAAACATCATTTTTGGTTTTTTCGTCGTCAGATTGTAAATTAGTTGTGCACAGGTTATGCATGCATAGAAACTGTTGCATTGAACTGAATATTTCAGTTTTTATTCTGTTGCATAGGAAAGTTCACTAAGAAATATCCCATGGATCTACTTAACACTTAGCTATAGAATGAAAAATCCTTCAGAGTTCAGGCTAAACATAAAAACATGCACATCAACAGTTTTCATTTGTTCATCAACAATTTATATGTGTCTTGCTAACCAATTTTCTTATTTGACTCATATGGTATCCACGTACATCTACATACGTAAACTCATTTTAGAATGTTTCAGGCTCATCACTATTGATTTTTTTTATTATTTAAATGATTAGAAGAGATGCTTCTTATCACAATAATGTTTTTAAATTGTAATTTTTAAAATTTAATAATTTCCAAATCCAGAAAAATCTAAAGAGTCTAAAAGTGTTAAATATTTGTATTTATTCATGATATTTAAAACTGTATTAGAATAACAAATGTTAAAATCTAGTAAATGTTTACATAGGAATATAATGATATTTAAAATACAATGTTTGCTGAATTTATAATTAGTGGAATATTTATGTGCAGAGAGCTACATCGTAAGTTATTGCATTTCGAAATAACATATACATAGGAGAAATGAGACAAATCATAGATGGAAGAATGAAGCAACATTTTAATGATTCAAAAAATAGTAAAATAAACAATAAAACAGCCTTAGCCCACCACAGCGTGACAAATAGACATGAATTCAATATACTACAAGCACAAATATTATATAAAGAAACAAATAGTAAACACTGAAAAATAATAGAATTCATATTTATCATTAAACATAATAAAAAAAGCAATAAATTACAAAACTGATGCAGCTAAAATAGGGAGCCATTATGCTTATATAATTAAAAAATTAAGTATATAAAAATAGAAATGTTTCGGAATTTGACCCTTTGTTCAAGGTTTGGTTCAGTATCTGACTAGGGTCTCCCTAGAGCAGTCCACAATATACACTGACAGGCAAAAAATTCCACCCACTTGATATTTTCATGTTTTCATCTAAAACTGTTCCTGCTTTGGATCGGTATATTGTTTTTAATGAATAAATAGGTAATCTTTTTGTTTGTTTTCAATTAGGAATGTTAATATAGAGGACAATAACCTTAATCCTTAATTCAATGAAATGATTCTAGATTCCAATGTTTACTTTCTATGGAATCAAAATGTTTATTCAGTATCATTAGTTCAGTGCCGTTTCTTGCAGCACATTTCTTAGTCTCCGGCTTTTAATTTTTTCAATATTAAGTTTAAAAATGCCTCTTAGTGCTGAGGATGTTGCGCGTGGTGTGACACTTATTGATGATGGACGTTCCATTAGATAAGCAGCTAATGCCATCGGAGTTCCATATGAAACTTTACGAGACGCCATCAGGAGTTTTCAGGAAACTGGTTCTTACAATAAAAGGCCCGGTTCTGGACGGCCTAGGGTAACAGAACCACGGGATGACCGGTTTTTGACTTTGAGAATTTTACGAAACCGGGACCTTACCGTTATTCAAGCGATTCATCAGCTCGAAGAAGTTCGAGATGTGCAAATTTCTGAACCTACCGCTCGGAGAAGATTAAATGAGTATGGATTAATGGCTTTTCGTCCAGTAAGAGGACCAGAGTTGAACTCACAGAGTAACACAGTGGCTTTTACTCGAGAACACAGCCATTGGACTATGGACGAATGGAGTGCTGTACTTTTTACAGATGAGTCAAGATTCGCTCTTCGATCTCCAGACGGGCGTGAAAGGGTGTGGAGAAGAAGTAACGAAAGATATGCAGCCTGTAATTTTTCCCAGAGCCAATCTTTCCAACGTGGTTCCTTAATGGTGTCAAGGGCTGGGATTTCAATGGAGCGCCGCACAGAATTGGTTGTTGTTCGTGGAGGGTCTTTGACGGCTATTTGCTATGTAGATGAGATTTTGGAACCTCATGTGTTGCCTACTCTCAACGAAATCGGCGATCGTTCTATTCTAATGCACGATAATGCACGCCCACACGTCGCCCGCATAGTGCAGACGTTCCTTCAACAGAACAAAATTGAGGTTTTAACCTTTCCAGCACGTTCTCCAGATTTGAACCCCATTGAGCATTTATGGGATAACCTCGGAAGACGAATAAGAGCGCGCGCAACACTTCCTGATACACTGCAGGACCTTGAAAGGGCTCTTCGGGAGGAATGGGCTATCCTCCAGCAAAGGGACATTTCCCGACTGGTGGAAAGTATGCCGAGGTATGTATATGTATTCAAGAAGTAGTGAAGGCAAGAGGAGAAAACACGCGCTACTAAACGATGATGTAATTAATTTCTTTTAGAATAATAATGGTCCGTTTTGGAATCTTGGAAACATTGGAATCTAGAATCATTTCATTGAATTAAGAATTAAGGGTTGTTGTCCTCTATATTAACATTCCTTACTGAAAACAAACAAAAAGATTACCTATTTATTCATTAAAAACAATAGACCAATCCAAAGCAGAAATATTTTTAGATGAAAACATGAAAAAATCAAGTGGGTGAAATTTTTTAGAAACATTATAGAAACTTGCTAGATATATAAAAGTAGTAATAAAATAACATATAAAAACATAAAATTATGACAAATATTAAAAAAATAATATGATATTAGGGCGAGATACTGATAAGATTGGCGATTTCTATTAGTGTTGTTAAAAGTTATCATAAAAAAATATTTTATTGACGGTATGTACGGTAGTGTGAATGTGATCCTACCTCACTATAACTAATGTCTAAGTGACAGATTGTTGTAATACTCAATAAAAAAAATAAAAAAATTCTAGTCTGGAGATGGGATAAGAAAGTGGTTTCGAAACGTCAAAAAAATGAAGAAAAATTGTTGAGATTAAATACCGTTATTAAATCTCATTTATGTACCTCATATTTAATATTTTTCACTCTAACTGATAAGACTAGAATACTTAATTTTTTATGTGAAAAATAGTGAAACTTCCATTCCTTTAATATTAATATTATAAAGTACATACCTTTGGAAATAGTATCCATATTTGGAAAAATTAAATAAGAAAACGGAATATGCACCATATTTGCAAACAGAAGTTGAGCGTTTGTTTCGTTTCCTACGACCAGAGATGGGCAAATGCTATCTTTTGCTGAGTACCAAGTATTTTACTCAATACTGACCTTTTTTGAATACTTGAGAATTTAATCACTACTTCAGTTGAATTCAAACGATTAACTGAAGTAGTGATTAAATTCTTTGATTTCAGTGTTTCTTATCATGTTTGCTCAAATTGTTTGTTTTTGTTTCGACTACATATATTTCGTCATTTCCTTACAAAATATTCACTACCGCCATTTTGACATTTGTCCCGGTAGATTACACGAACGAGCCTACTGTTCATCATTTTTATATCCGAAGAAATTATAATATTAAAGGTTAAAATATTATTTGTTATTACCAAAATTGATAGTCGAAAAATTGGCGAAGTAATTCCAGCGGCGGTTGAGCACCATACGCTTCTTTTTCTGGCATGTTTATGTCGTCACCAAATATTATGGCAACTTTTTTGCCAGCTGGTGCATACACTCCTTTCCCTTTTCTGAACAAATTAGCTAAGACAAGTTCCTGTAAAGAAATAATTGGTTTTAATTATTCAGAGTTTTCAATGAATCTATCACTTTACTTTAATTGAATATAACTAGAATATTTAAGTTGGATAAATTGTTGAAAGGCTTAATTAAGTATTAATTAATGTAAAGGCTAATTAACTAAATCAAATAAGAGTCTATCCTGGTCTGATAAGCATAACAAGATTTTTATTCGAAAATTCAAAAGAATGAATCAATCCAAATTAATTGAATTCATATTACCCTCAGTTCCGGAATTGAGTAAACAGGGATACAGCCTGATCTGTTTTCGACAATGTTATAGATGACATTTTGAAAGAAAAAAAAAAAGTTCGTCTTCGCGATTGTTAATGTTTAAAGGACTTCGGTGAGTGGGCACCGTCTTTATATAGCCAAACTTAGTTTGAACTATTTTTAAAAGTAACCTATTAATATAACATGTCGTCTGCATTCTGATACAAAGAGCTTGGCTGAAGACAGTCAATCCAGTAACTAATGGAGTCAAAAAGTTGGAGAAATTTTTAGTGAATATTACCCAACATTAACATTTATTTCTGGACTATTTTAATTTATTATCAAGAAGAATCAATTAATTTATTTATTTGTTTTTATTGTTGCCTCTACCCTGCAGAGTCATTGGCAACACTTCCTGTTTATACTCTATTGTAGAACTTTATTATTTTTAAAAATTGTAAGGGTTTTTCCACTGCGTTTTCGTTGTCACTGAGGTTTTCTTTTAGACTCTGAGCCATATCGAGATTTTTCCTTATATTCTTAAATACTGGGCAGTCTTGGATGA